GTTTCTTGCAAGGAAATAATTTTTGGTGTATAATTTTGATCAAGTTTTGCAGTTCAGTGTAATTATTGCAGTAACCTTTAATATTCCATTGGAGAATATTTAAAACCATAACAAAAATAGAGAAGCAAAGAACGTGTGCAGAGCAAAAAAATAAGTGATCAAAATAAATAAGAGAATGATGAGATTTTGTTTATTTAGATATCACAATCCATCTCTTCACTTTCGGTGTTGTAGATGCACACTTTTTGTTGTTGTTTGCTGCACTCCTTTTCAACTCATTTCTCATTCGTTTTGATGTGTTTCTCGGGAGAACAGTAACGGTTGATTTTTTAAAATGGCCGTTGTTGTTGGTAACTCGGTGGTTTTTTGTTCCTCTTCTTTTGAGCTGCTTTTTTTGTTGATATATCGTCATATTTCACAACGTCCCTTGTTGTTTGTGAGAAAGAGTTATCATTTGGATGTCGTTGCTTGTATATTTCTATTGCTGTTTGTTGTCCACCTTTTCGATTGTTTTTGTTTGTATCTTTTTATGCTTAAGAAATATTGGACATTTTTTGACGAGAACTGAGTGATTGGTATCACTCTTATTCTCTTTAGCACAGTTAACACATTTTGTTGGTTTTTGACAGAGTTCATTGTCGTTTAAGTGCTCTGGTTCTCCACAGTTTTTCGTTTTGGTAAACATAGGTGATATGGCTGTAGTAAAAGCATTGACGGCACCTCATAGGTAAGGGGATGTAGGGACGTATTTTAGTTCTCTCGTATCCAATGTTAATGTTCTCGGGTAGATTCGATAAAGAGAAAGTTAAAATGATGAGCCCAATTTCCAGCAGTCCGCTGTCAATCTTCTTCATTATTTTTTGTACTTCGATGAGGTTTAGAGGTTTTAATTCTCTTAAAATTTCCTCTTCTGCTATTCCGCGCAGATCATTGTTGTAAATTACACCTTTGCTGTTATTTCGTTAGAGAGCGAAATAAGTTGGATAAGTTTAGTGGCTTGAGTTGCAGTTTTGGTTTTGATGAGAAGCTCTCCATTGCGTAATTTCTTGCACGAATCGACTTCACCACAAACACTGTCTATTACTTTTTTTTATTAAAAAGGGAGAAACGTTTTTTAATGTTTCATTATTATTAATTATTGACATAAGTAAGAATTTGGGTCCGATAGTAATGTTTTGAAACATCTTGGTTTTGTCAAGATCAAAATTTGCGGATTTAATTGATGTTTTCATGATAAATTCACAGATTAAAAACCACTGGGTAAACTGACGTTCGTTTGATTTCGCTGTCGAATGACGACTGGAAATCCATTATTTTTGGCTGTACTGATAGATTTTTCGTAAAGATCGAACAATTTCAGATTTATGCTCGTTGGAAGGCTAACATATTTTGCAGTAAAAAAAAATATTTTCTGTTTTTTGTTTGGAGCATTCAGTTGTGAGTTTCAGGGTGTTAAAAGAGTTTAAAATTTTTAAACTTTTTGATAGTCATTTTTTGATAGTCATCAACTCCACGTGATATTTCCTCATTTAAACTAATTATTACTCAAAAATATTTAATATTTGAGTAAAAAAGTTTGAATTTAAGGAAAGTCGAAAGTCGGAAATGGCGAGTATAAAATTTTTTCCTTCTCTGATACATGGCTTAAACCTGAGATTGTTGATACTGAATGATTTTTTCAGATCAATATCAAGTCTAACGTTAAAGATAGAATATTAGATTTAGTATTTCTGAACCGGAAAATGAATATCACCCAAATCTTAATGTCAGTCTGGGATTCCAGGATAATTTAACTAATGTTGATGCAGATCAAAAAAAGCTTAAATTAAATTTTTATAAAGTCAACTTTTATGTTTCGCGTTCCATTTTATCCAACACAGATTGGGGTTTTAAGGGTAATATGGACTCACGCATTTCTTATTTCTACAAAACCTTTAATGAAGCGTTATCATTATCCATTCCCTTCATAGAATACAATCCTGATAGTGAATCTAAGGCGCTTGCGTAATGTAAAGACTAGATTGTTTAAAAAGTTCAAAAATTATAATTCTCCAGTGAATTACAGAAATTATTCTTTGGCTAGATATAAGTATAATACTGAATATAAGAAGTGCTATTCAGAATATCTAGTAAAAATGAATATTAGATTACAAAATTATCCGAAAGATTTTTTTTGTAGTCTAAATACACTTAACTCCTTATTAAACTTGCAACATGACCTACACTCATTCGTAAACTAGTGTAGTGCTAATGGTATGTCGCTAAACCTTAAGAAGTGCAAAAAAATTGAATCTTTATGACCAGCCCCATATTTATTGATTACTTTATAGGTTCTCATAAACTTGGCTCTGTAGACTCGTTTACAGATCATTTTTCATAACATTTTACATAACAAATTGTGTTTTCATTTACATACTGAATCATGTGTTAATAAAGCTAAATCGTTGCTTTGTTTTATAAAGCGATGGTCTAAGGAATTTGATGATCCGTATATAACTAAACGTCTATTCATTAGCCTTATTCGACCCACATTGGAATACGGCTGTCTACTTTGGAGCCCATTTTATAAAAATTATTCTAATTAAATAGAATCGGTCAAACCCAGTTTCTTTTTTTGCTCTTAGAGGACTACCTTGGAATCCACTTGAAGCACTTCCACCGTACGTAAACCGTCTGTTTTGGGATTCGCTGTAACATTTTGTACGGCAACAATAGTCTCATTGATGCGTGTTTGTAGCTCACACATAAACTTTGGATTTGTAGCAGACGTAATATTCTCACCGTATAATCAAGATTGCCATCGTTGGGTGCCCTTTTCAAAGGGAAATGGTGTACCAACAACAGCTGGCCGGTTTCGAACATGGGGTCCATGCGTTCCTTAACAATACGAGATATGGCTTCAAATTGTAGCAAATGATTTGTGTGGTGAAGTATTTTTAATTTCGCAGCCAATGATCGTACACCGGCAATAACATCTTTGTATTGAAAGTCCATATTATCAAAAAAGTTTTCATTTTGTATACTGGGTTTAATGGATTTACTGCTCTGTTCGGCCACCTTTTCACCAGTCAGATCTTTGTAATTTTCTGGTGCATCCAAAAATTCCAAACGTATGGCATAGCTCAAAATACAGGGGTGTCTGAAAATTTCAACATATTTCAAAAAGATTTTCAATGCGTGATGTGTGTGCTTGTGTCCTCTGCGTACAGTCCAGCCGGCGAGATGAAAGAAACTAATAAAAGATTGTTGTATTAATTGTGGTTTAGTTGCCAGACAGTTGTGTATTTAATATTTTTTGCGTGTTTGTCAAAACTATTGTGTTTATAATATAGGGCTGGCTGATGTTATTCTGTAGCCAGTAATTTCCCTTCACTCTCCGCGTTATGGGGAGTTGGCCCCTCGGTCGGCAGGGGCGGGTGTGAGTGGGAACGTTTGAAAAAAGAAAACGCTAGGCCACACACACCTACAGTGACTCGCCAGAAATGTCGGGAGCTTAATGCATCCGCCATAAAGTCCGGACTTGGACCAAGCGATTATCTTATTTTTCTTGCATTGCAAAATTTCTTTAATGATAAAAAATTTGTTCATCTAGGGAGGATTGTGAAAATCGACTACTAGAGTTTTTTGGTTGGTAATGTGGTATAGTCCCTTTCTTGTAAACTGAAAATGTTAGAATAACTGAAACATATTCAGTAGTTCGCTTTTCTCAAAATAATAAGATAGCAATGATCTGTTTAATTTATATAAATCACGTTGGAAATCAGTAGCAAAAATAAATTTTTCATGAAATTTACTTTTTTGATTGAAGTTTAAAAATAAATTTTTGTTTCACAGATGTATTTTAATTGTTATTACTAAATCAATAATTAGTAAGTACTAAATATCAAATCATATGCGCCATTGTACCACATATAACTTGAGTCTGTATGAAAAAAGCCAGCAAAAGACGAAATTTCATTACTCTTTGAAATATTTGTCCTTTACGAAAGCCTCACAAATGATAAAAAATGAAGGATACAACATCTAACAACTTCTCCGTACAAACATTAAATATTGCTATGCGTCGACACGATTATATAATAAAAATTGAAATTCCACTCAACGTATCCGTTAAGATGTTAACTGACATAAATCTCGAGCTAAATCACATTCATTAAAAACAATAAATTACACATTAACGTCGTATGGTATACCACATTACCTGCACATTTTTTAAAAATACTTTTACTGGAATTTCAAATATATTCTTAAATATATTTTAAATTGTTAGCATAATATTATTTTCAAGTTGATTCATGGAAAGACAACACATGAAGTTTTCAATTAAAACTTATAATTAAATCGGATAAAAAATAAAAATGTGGCAATCTAAAAACAAATCACTTACTCTATATATTTCGAACGGGTGTCTGATTGGGATTAAATTTTGAACAGTGCGGCATATCGAATAGCGTGTATCAAGTTTGCTTAAAATCAATTAGCTCCATTGTACGCAAACGATTCTAAATCTGCCCGAATGAAATAAAATTTAGCATAGGTTGCAAAAAGGGATCTGTATGGATTGATGTTAGTTTATATATTTAAGTTTATTCAATTTCGTTCGTTACCTCGAAAGAACATTGACATGAAATTGTTAGGATACATATGCAGAATATACCCAAAGTGTTGAAGGTCTGACTTTACTACTTTCTTGTTAGTTTTAGATTTTCGAAATTTACTGAAAATAGTAAAAAACATGTTTGGGTACTAAGGTGGATTCCTTCCGTGAAATTGATAAAATCATAAATACAAATGTAGCGATCAATAGAAAATATGAAAATTATTAATACATATAAATAAATAGAAACCTTTATTAAAATTGACCCAAGCGTCGATATGCATCGTATTAATCATGGTAAGAGTATTATGAATGGCTGAGCAAAATTGTTTGGCATATATGTATGTCAAGACATAAATATGATACACTTCCCTAGTTTTAACGTTGTTTATTATATTTTCAGATCAGTGACATACATCAATTTTACACTAGGAATCATGACTTGCTGCTTGATTTGGATATGGAATATAAGATGGGCATTGCTGGTGGAGCAAGAAATGAAATAGAAATTTCATGTGCAATTATATCATTTTGTGTATTTTTAATTAGAACAGTTTATAACTAAAAGTGTTTATCTTTGTATTTAGAGATGAGAATTATAATTTATGTTTTGATTATAAAATGTGCCTTACATTAAACATTTATTTTTTACTAACTATTTAATTTGAACACCTGAAGGATCATATATTTAAAATTTTGTTTTAAGAAATTTAATTTCCATTGAGTCCATTGTTTAAATGCCATATTTATATGTAACATGTAATTGATTTAATTAAAAAATGTATTATTATAAATAATATAACTATATGTACGTTGAAGCTGGGATTCTATTATCCGTTGACATCAATAAGCCGGGGAAATAAATATATATATATATATTTAACTCAAACGTAATGAAAAAAAATTCATTATCGTACTAAGAGTGAAAATTATTATAACGCATTTATATATATATATATATATATATATATATATTTAACTCAAACGTAATGAAAAAAGAAGTTCATTATTGCACTAAGAGTGAAAATTATTATAACGCATTTATATTTCTATTGTTCAAGATCAACTTGGTGAGAATTAATTAATTTGGAAATAACAACTTAACTAATGTCCACGTCATAGATGTACAAAACAATTTCATTTTATATAAGTTCCATATAATATAAATGGTAAACATAAAAACCCGATAGAGTTCGTTATAAGGAAATAAGTAAAATGCGCTATTAATTTGATTTGAATTTGATTTGAAAGCTCTTAGATATATGTAGTTTTATTATAGGTCAGCATAATGTTTTAATTATCTATCAAGTAAAACTCGAACAAACACTATCATCTTTGCCATTGTGTAAGAACATTAGGACAGTAATAACAGCAATTAAAATTAATATATTGATAACAGGTCCAATATGACAAAGCTAATAATTAATTTGTTTCGATGGAATCTTAATACCAATCCCCTACAATATTGTTGACACTTACGGATAATCGAGGCATCAATGTATAATAAGGATATTGGGCTGATCATTAGTTTGCCAAAATTCAAAGAATAAGAAAATCATTCAGTTTTTAATATACTCGTCTGTAGAAAGACGGTCGGCCAGGTAGTATTCTTAGATGGCAATACTTAAGTACTGTAAGCACAAATGTGTAACTAAAGATATATTATATTAACGAATATTTAGTACGTATATACATGTGTGTATTATATGGGCATAAACATTCAAATAATTTAGTAATGTATAAATTAATTGTATATAAATAAATATAATATGATTTATTCATAAGTTTTAACTAACTATAGTGAAGTAAATGTATTCGATTTGCCCGAATCTTATATACCCACCATTTAATATACGCAGACGATCTAGATCAATAGTTTTACACGAAAGCAACACAATCGTAATACTGCTTTGATAACGGTTGGTTTGTTAGTTATATGAAATTTTGTATAAAATCAAATTCCTACCACATACATTTTAGCTAATATGTTAAGAGCAATACAAATAAGTTAAATTAATATTGTATCTAGATATTAAAGCAAATCATACGAAATGATAAAGCATAACATACATATTCTGCTGTAAGTAGTACTAATTTTTTATTTTAAATAGTTAAAAGCAGTTCAGAAGTTAATAAGAAATAAATATTCATTTGTCGATTACAAAATAAAATAAATGTAAATAAGGATTTTAAAAATATAACTCTATACTACTTTGTTTGTAAATCTATCGAGTGTTATGTAAATTATTAGAAATTTACGGAAATTATGCAACTTACCAGATTGGCATTGTTAGTGCTTTGGCTTACCGGAATTCGTACAACAAAAACAATGTTCGGTAAGCTTGTACTCAGAACAATACCGCTTCTTTGCTCTTTTTCTTAAACATAAACAAACACAAATAAAAAACGGCGTTAAGTGCGACCGGGCCGAATTTTTATACCCCCACCACGGAAGTGAATTTAAACTTCCTTAAGTCGATCGGGATTCATTCATTCATGCATTCATATGGGGACTATGTTATGACGTAATGTGATAGTAGGTCGTTCATTCTTCGAAAAAATTGTGTTCAAATTACACACTCTAATTGGAAAACATAAACGGGACTTTTTTAATTTATTTCTTATTCAGCACGAACATACCCACCCCAATGAGAAAATTCGATTAGAATTTGGGCCCATATTAAAAAGGAAAATTTCATTCAGAACCTTTTATACCTTATTACAGTCCCATCGTTTGGAAAATGCGGCTAAAGTCTTCAAAATAACGAAAATGGGATGGTACTATTCTCTAGGAGCTATACCAAACCATAAACTGATTCTTGTTGGCATTTCCATCCCATAATAATTTGAAAAATTAAAGCGAATTCAGTTGAAAAATACTTTACGGTGTATCCGGTGAATATTTCGATGTGTTGCAAACGGAATGACACATTCATGGTTGGGGATTTATCTACTCAGAAGAGATAATTTCAATCGGGCTAAACATTAGACGATCGAAATACAAAATGCAACTTACATCGACATAAACAAGGTGTTACATTAAACTATTTAAGTTGACCAGGGATTGCATTGAATAAACGAGATACTGCTACATGGAATGACTGCCCTTGTGAATATCCAAACTGGGTATTATTAAATTTGAATTCCTCGTAGAGCGAGAAAAATTAAAAGATCTAGCCAAAAATAAAGGACCTTGGATACATAATCATTTTAAAACAATAAGAGGCATATCAGATCGGCGAATCTATAAAAAACAACCAATAAAACGTTCTACAAATGGGATGATTTAATTATCTTTGTACTTTTCTCATATTTGGCATGTTAGCAGCAGAGTAAACTTCCAGGCTCCCTCTTTCATTTGGTATCCTTACTTTGTTCGCTTCCAGAGGCTGTCTTGATTCTGTGGATGTTTAAAAATGTCCTTATTTGATCTGTCCACATTCTGCTAGAATCTACTAGATTTTACTATTTTCTTCGATATCATAATGAAAAATTCGTTATCGTAGTAAAAAGTAGTAGATTATTATAGTACGAGAACAGACCAATTTCTTATTATTTTCCATTACTAATTGTTCTGTTCGAAAACTTTTTAATAGAAAAACGGCATTTACATTAGAACTTTTTACCGGGTTAACCTATTCTATGAAGATTTATTTGACATGTATACAATGAAATTGACCATTGAAACACATTGGGCTAACTAAATCCGGTACTATGTAAACGTACTCTTAAGCAAGTAAAAGGGAAAAATGTCAAACTCGCTCTCAGAGTGCAAAACTATTTGAAAAGTTCGGGAACTGAAATCTAGTAAATATGTCAATATTAGGTGGCAATACTTCAAAATCAACAAAACAGCCAATCAGAATTTGGTATTCATGTTTACCATTTTTATTCATTCAAATTTTTCGATTAAAAAGTTTACAAAGAGAAAGCCATTTTGTTTTGTGTTCTCTTAAATTTGGTTCAAAGTTTTACTAGTTTTGTGGGTTGAGCAACGGGTTTCGAGTAAAAAGTTGCAAAACTTGTAAATGTAGTAGAATCTTGCAGGAACTTATGTTTATGTTTTGGTTAATCATTTTGAAAAATTATTATTTTATAACAACGTTACCTAAATTCAACGAGGCGTACAGAAATATTCAACTTCCCCGCTATGGCAAAATGTATTGTATGGGCGTATTACCCAAATACGTCGAAAGCATTTCTCTTAGTGAACTAATCAGAATCGCGAAATAAAATTAAAAATTTTAAACTGTGTTCAAACATTTCACACAAATCTTAAAAAAATCATATTTTCTTTGTGTTTTGTTTATATTTCCAACAGAAGAAAAAAAAAGAAAACTGCGTTCTGTCATAGTTTAATTTTTACAACATTGAAAATTTGTACGTCGACATATTTCGGTAACATTCATATAAATACAGTCGAATTCGGATAAGCGAACGCCGGTTTATCGAAAAAATCGGTTAATTAAAACTAAAAATTTTAAACTATTTTTTCGGGTGAATTTTGCAAACTCTCTACTTTGCTTTTAAGAAAACCCGGTTAATTGAAATTCTGTATAAGAGATGTATTTTTTTGTTGCCAAAACACAATTATATATAAAACGAACACCGTTTAATGAAGCACGCATTCGCCACCTCTTAATCGTATCTTCTTAATGAAAGTTGAAAGTAATTAAGGCGATAATATTTAAGGTAACAAAACAGTGTCATTTTGGAGTGTCGCTTTATTAACTTCAAATTGTGACAAAGAAGATATTTTTCAAAGGTAACGAGTACGTGGTTCATTTCTTCCCAAACGGTATAACTTATTTGTTAAAAATACGATATCGCCTACGAGTGTTTTCATTGCCTGGTAGTTACTTTTTGGATATTTTTGGATAGAAAATGCTTGCTGGGACGTGTTCAAAACAATACACACACACATACACAAAATATGTAGTTTGATTTGATTAAACAAGCCAACTTGAGAAAAAATTGTAATCAGTTGGTCGCTGTGCCCTACCTATTAATAATTATACCATGGGTAGTACCTAAATTCATGGGTATGCGTACGAATTTATTCACCTCAAAAGTTAATTACATGTTTTTCAATGAATATTACCCAAAATTTTCAACAATGAAAATGCGTATTTTGATTTTTTTGTTTTTTGAAAATTGAATTTCGGACATTGAAAAATGTGTGTTTCTATAAAAGTAAACATTTGGCGATCAATTAAAAAAATGTTTTCATCAATTTTCGCCGTTTTCAATTGCCACAGATGCAAATAAAGTCCTTGAGTATTTGGGTAATACGGACGTCTAACAAACCCTATAAAGGTGAGAAGGTGAATATGACCCTTAAGGGCCCCATACACCTTAGGGTATGCATGACAGCATTTGAAGTAGTATTGGTAATTTTATGTCATTTTGAGAATGTATGTGTGAGAATTTCACGCAGTACGAACATCAAAGTTTTGATTCTATCGACGTCCTAAGCCTATCATTCCCACCACTGCCGACCGAGGGGTTGTTGTTGTTGTAGCAGCTAGTACTGCTGTGTATTTCCAATTTGTCTTAATCTGGTTC